AAACATCCTTTTTATCGATCTATCTACAATGGTGAAAAGAAGTTTAAGACCAATGGTTAAAGTTCTATTCATTTAAGAATATGTTTCTAATAAAACAGTATAAATTAGTTTTATTGTGTACGCTTTATGCAGAATTTATTTCTCCTTCGATTGATATAAAAATTGTTTATTTTTCTACAACTTGAAAAATTTTAATGCTGGATTAATTTAAATTATCTAAATGTGCACATATTCTGAAATTAGGAAAACTTTAACCATCAGTCTTGTTATAAAATAAAATAAGATATATCTTGGCTGATTTGCAGGCAAATAAACTAACATACTCAAGAGCAAGAGCCAGATGTGAACGGGACGAGGCCCCGTCACAAAATGACCATTATCATCGTTTGCGCATAGGCCCGACACACGAGTTCCGATTGAATAATAAAATAATATTTTAAAGTGTTTCTATTTTTCGACCAATAAAAATGCTTCCTTCCTAATTATACACGCGTTGTTTTTCAAGCCTGTTAAGCCATAAAAAAACGCCATAAAAGGGGTCACACGGGGAAGTACTAAGAGTCAACAGGAGGCCAGGGAAGAGACATGTCACGGTCAGTCTGGGCAGTCAGCAGCACTCAGCAGGAGGAGCGCCATGCCAACCAGTGAAAACTACTATGGGAGATCAACCCAGATCTTCAGCCGGCCTATGAACTATACCACAAGGTAGCTGTCCCAAACCCACATGTTCCTATTGAAATAAATCACGTAAATCTATTTCTGCTGTTGTCGTATTTCTTTCTTGCAACCATACGCTTGTCTATAACAGTCTTAAACTTATTTTCACCATTGTAGATTTGGTTAGCATATTAACCAAAAAAGGAGACATAGGTTTGGCTTGCACAAGAATTTAAAAGGTAAGCATAGGTTTGCTTTGTATGAGGATCCAAACGGTAGACATGGGTTTGGTTTGCACAAGATTCCAAATGATATAAATGGGATTGCTTTGCACAAAAGTCAAAAGAATGGAAATAGTAAACAAAAGTTAGAGATAGGTTTAGTATTTATGTGATGACTCACATACATACAAAACCAATCTCTAACCTATATCTAAAAAAGCAGTAAAAATAAGTTTAGTCTTCATAAGAGCAAAAGTGTACGCATAGGTTTGGTTTACATGATATTCAAAAAGGTTTGGTTTGAATGAGAATCAAAAAACTAGAGACAAGTTTGGTTTGAACGAGAGTCAAAAAGGTCGACATAGGTTTGGTTTGTGCCAGTATTAAAGTGTTAGAAAGAGGTTTGGTTTCCACCAGAATAAAGATGTTGACATAGGTTTGGCTTGTACAACAGTCAAAACAGAAGGTGTCGGTAGATATACAAAGCAGTAGATATAAGTTACAGATTGGTTTGGTATGGATGCAAATCAAAACAGTAAAAATAGGTTTGGTCTGCATGAGAATCAAACAGGTAGAGATAATAACTAAAGGAAAATTGAAAAATAACATGTAAGAATTTTTGTTAATGAAATAGGCATGCTTGAAAGAAAGTCTATAAATAACATGTAAGGTGATGAATATAAAAGAACTGGTTGAAAGAAGAAAGAAAGAAAAAAAAAAGGGATGAAAGATCCGGATTAGGAAAAATCTGTTTATCAAAGAGAAATAATGAAAAGAAAGTTGATAAATAATACACAAGGTAGAGAATGTAAAAACAAAAAAAGAATTCACAAGAAAAGAAAAGAGATTAAAGTGAAGAAAGAAACAAAAAAGTCATGAACAACTAAAAAGAATGAAGAAATAGCAAGTGATAAAAATAATTGCTAATGTAAATGGTAGAATTAAAAGCATATATATTAATTCCAGTGTCTTGTATATGATAATATAAAAATATTATCTATCTATATTTCTAGTGTAAATGGTAGAATTAAAAGCATATATATTAATTTCAGTGTCTTGTATATGATAATATAAAAATATTATCTATCTATATTTCTGAGATGAGGTATTGTAACTGTTTACATCATTTACATGGTTCGAACTATTGTCTTCATCTTCATTGTCATATTCACAACATTTCAGCCACTGTATGATCTGGCCTTCTTCAGGTCATATACATTAGAATTTAGAACTGAACCATTTATTTTGTACACTGAAGTAAATTATTCTAGTTCCACATGCCATACCTTTCTTGGATGTCTCAGTTTCAGTTATCTCCGTTTTAGTAACTCAACTCGACTCAAAGAGTTGTGAGTTCAACAGCAGAGGGGAACAAATCTTGGAGAGTCCAAACAATGTAAATAGTGTAAATAAAAATATTATAATTCTATAAATCTCTCAAGTCTGACATTAGTTTAATTTACTCACCAAAACAGCCACAACAATTTTATTAATCAATGCTGACTGAAGCAACAGCAGTATGATGACCTTGAGAAGTTTCGCAAATTCTCTACTATAAGGAGAAAGATAGAAAACAAAACAAACAGAAATATATAGAATGGAAACAAAAATAATGGACAAATGAAGAAAGAGTGAAATGGTCACACAGATTTTTGATAAATGTGACAGATATAAATAGTATTTCCAAGAATATCTCATATATCCATGCTTCTGAAGAAATGATTGCACTTTTTTCTTCCTTATAAAAATCTATCTCCCCTTGATTTTTTTCTTCCTATGAAGCAAACATTTATGAAAGTTATCTTGACGAGAATTTTGGAAACAATTTTTCATATGGAAGAGACATAAGAATAGACATACTTCCCTTCAGAGAGAGACTCTAATTTTGATGATATCAACTCTAAGATCAGGAAAAGTAATATTTTAAATCAAACTGGCTATTTTGTATTTATATCTATCTTTAAAGTTAATTAACTTAGTTCTAGAAAGATTAAAGATTAAATTCACTTTACTGAAGTTTGTTTACAAGCAGAGATCATTATCTATCTATCTATCTATCTATCTATCTATCTATCTATCTATTGATCTATCTAACCATCTATACATATATATATATATATATATATATATATATATATATATATATATATATAATAAATACATTGAGCTCTCTGTTGGTCAGTTTTAATAATTAATATTACTAGGATCCACCCGAATTATATATCCGCATCAATTACCTGTCCTGTACTCTCTCTCTCTCTCTCTCTCTCTCTCTCTCTCTCTCTCTATATATATATATATATATATATATATATATATATATATATTATCTGGTCTAGGAGAAGGACAACTCTGAATTCAAAACCTGCGGAGGGTCGTTTGGGGACCTTGTGGCACTAGTGCACCAGGTCTCTGCAATCGGCCCTTCAAAAAATGTGGATGGTCCTGAATGAAACATTCACCACTATAATCAAATCTCATGTGTTGTCGGGCTGTCAGTTTCCTGTGAAATAATCTGCTTGACCATCATACGTTGAATTCGACAGGAAAGTCAAGTATTATAAATATATATATATATATATATATATATATATATATATATGTGTGTGTGTGTGTGTATGGGTAGGAATTACTTATGCCTACTTGATCAGTGCATATGTCTACACTCATTATTATTGTGTGCTGTATTTACACTTTTACTTCTAATGACATATATATATATATATATATATATATATATATATATATATATATATATATATATATATATATATATATATATATATTCTTTGGGGTGGAATGCAAATTAAGTAATTAATGATATACATATGTTATTTTTAGTGGATACTTGTATTTAAGTAGATGCTCCATTTATTCATTAGAGAGTATATCTATTTATTTTTGTTTAATGGCCAGAATGTTTGAGAAATCATATTAAAGAAATATACTGTTTATGAAAGGATTATAAATGGCGTATCTATGCAAATAAACTTTAAAACTGATAAAAATCTATCAAATTAATAAAAATTCATTAAATTCTTTAGAAAATGATCATATATATATATATATATATATATATATGCTAGAAAAAATAAAATTTCATCCTTTGTGCACATGTGTAGTTATAAACGTAAACATCACTTTAGTTTGATGAAGTCTTAAAGGATGTAATGTGTTATATGAAAATGTTTTCTGCTAATTAATTTTCATAATATATATATATATATATATATATATATATATATATATATATTTGAGCATTTTCCATGAAATACCACACATACACACACATACACACACACACACACAGACATATATATATATATATATGATCATTTTCTAAAGAATGTAATAGAGTTTTTATTAATCTGATAGACTTTTAGCAATTTAAAGTTATTTTCTCCTTATGATGGCCATGCTGGCTGAAACTAGTTGAGGAAACTAATTGAAATAATAAAACAAAAAAATATTAATATACAACCCAGTGTGTCTGAAAATTTTTATTTTTTAATTTTTCAATATTTTTTATTGTTTAAAACACACACACACACACACACACACACACACACACACACACACATATATATATATTTATATATATATATTTATATATATATGTGTGTGAATTGCTTTATCAGTCAAGAAAAATGAATGATGATTCAGTAAATTCTAAGTTTTTACTTAACAAACTGCACAATTGTTTAAAGTGGCCAAATGCCTGTACCCTGCAATACATATTCTTTCCATCATAGTACCATGTTCCATACTAGTGTGCTCTGATCCACATGTTAGATGATGCTACAATCACAGTTTATTTAGATACAAGTTTTACATCTCCGCATGTTAATCATTGGCTCCTATATGAAGCTCGTACACCCTTTGTAAACTTTCTCTTGTTTGGTTTCCGTTTTCTTTCACTAAGAGTGGCTGCCACACAAGGCTGTCAAGTCTAGTCTATCTAACTATTTACACATCGCTAGGTGGGGAGAAGACATGAATTCCTATGATTTCCAAGGGTATTTGCACATAAGTAAATGTAACAAGCTCAACTGGAATTTGTACTCAGCTTTCCAATTTCTCCTTCCAAGATCTTATTCATTACACCACCTGCATATCTAAGCTTATAGCTCCTGATATTCCCAAGCAGTCACCCATATAGGTACTGACCAGGCTCAATGTTGCTTAACTTCCATGACCAAATGAGTTCCAGTGTTTCCTAAACTATACATATATATATATATATAATAATAAAAAACAAAAAGCCAACTCTTAACAATATTAACTACAAACAAAGCCACAATGTGCTAAGCGTATTCGGAAATTAAAAACATCCCTACCACACACTGATACATACACATAACACACACACTCAACTAAGCTGAAAAATCGAATCATCCTTGATCATAGCTAAAGGTATAGCCGAAAGCGCTTGGAAATATAAAACATTTGGACAGTTCTTACACACCCTTTGTCCAGAAAAGAAAGCTCTTGTCAGAACACAAGAAAAATTAAATAAAATGCTTAACCGTAGTACCTTGTCTGTCGTTTTTAATGAAACATGCACATGTATATATATATATATATATATATATATATATATATATATATATATATATATATATAGAGAGAGAGAGAGAGAGAGAGCAATAAAAGATTGATTGTTGATTGATCTGTTTTTTATGCCTTATCAACCATTTTGATGTTATTTAAAGCCAAAACCTGTGTTTGGATTGTAAGAATTTTCTGGAGATATTAATGATTTTCTGTGACATGTACTATTATTTAACCCATAGCTGGGAGGAGAAGAACTGGATTCATACTTGTTTCTTACACCAGTCCCATTACTTTTCAGACAGACCATGCAAATTTTCATTTTCCCAGAAAGTGTACATAATTTATAGACATAATAAAGTAAATTGTTGTTAGCATTGGAGCATACTTATGAATCTCTAAATGTTAATGTTGTTTGGAAAATTTAATGGTACAGTAGATTTTGATAATTTCACACAAGGTAAACATGTCAGATATGAAACAAAGAATACAGAAACAACATCATTTATAAGAAGCTTGCAAATTTGATATGCAAACAATGCAACATGCACCTCAATGCATTCAGTCAGAGAGTGCACTTGTTTGAAGGGGTGATGACTTAAACAAATGATAATAAAATAAAAGAGTAAATTTTATTAGCTGAATGGAAATATGATAGGCAGAAATACATTACAAACATAACTAGAATAGTTATAGGCATTTGAAAGATAAAAATCACCTTGATCTTGTGCAGGTTATGACAAACTATGTTCATACAGCTGAGGACAAAATTATTAGCCACCTATGAAAAGTGGACTTTTAAAATATTTTCAAGTGGTTTTTAACAAATTTTTTCAGGCAGAATTTTTTAATATACAAATTTTATTTAGAAAGTTTATATTATATTACTTGGTATATAGAAAGAAAATTAACTAATAAAATTCCACTATATATCCATCCATCCATACACACAGATACATATATATATATATATATATATATATATATATATATATATATATATATATATATATATATATACACAGTTCTGTGCAAAAATACATGGACCTTTAAGATAATACTTAAAATAATTGTCTCTTTTTTCCAGATAATCAACAAATCTTAAACTATATTGCCAAGAAAAACCCTTATTAAATGGATTATGACTACTTTCAAAGATCTTTATCAAGCTGGAATAAAAATATTAATTAAAAATTAAGATGTGCAAAAGTAAGTGAATCCTTACATTTACACTCTGAATTTTTGTTTTACATGGTTGCCAGTGCAAATAATTTTTTTGTGCATGTGTAAAAATCAAAATGACACATGTTCCTTTCTTTAGTAAGCTGTGCACACTGCAGTCAAACAATATAACTCATTGTGCATGCAAATGGGTGCAGTTAGAGACTAAATTTATAAAATATATATGCAAAGATCAAAAGAACTTCCTGAAGCTTTCAAAATTGCATAGTAGAAACCTGTCATGATGGAGAAGGTGACAAAAAGCTATCAAAATGATTTGGAGTGCACTTCACCACCATGCAACAAATTATTTACAAATGGAAGGTCATTGGTATGATGCCATCACAATCAAGAATTGAATTGGCCATCCGTGAAAAATAACAGCAAGCCCAGGCAAAACCTGTTATGACTTTTGTAGTTCTTCAATGTTCACTATCCAATGTGAGTATCAATGTACATATATCTCCAGTGCTACAAAATCTGAATAATGCCAATCTTCATGACAGAATGCCTAGAAAAAGCCACTGCTTATGAAATATCACAAGCATGCTCACCTCAACTATGCAAAAACTCATATTAATAAACTGGAAATATCCTAGCAAAAAGTTTTATGGTCAGATGAGACTAAACTAGAGCTTTTTTGGAAGGAAAAATAGGTGGTATATCTGGCGAACTCATAATAAGACTTTTAAAGAGAAGAATTTGATACTAACCATTAAACATGGAGGTGGCAGCATTATGATTTGGGGGTGCTTTGCTGCAGCTGGAGCAGGCAAAACAGTATGCATTAATGGCACAATGGACTCTGCAAGATACCAACAATTTTCAACAAAAGTGTCTTGTCCACAGTTCAAAATCTAGGTTTTGGTTGTGGTTGGAACTACTAACAAGACAATGATTTGAAGCATCAAAGCAAATCCACAAAAGAATAGGTCCATAAAAAGAAAAAATAATGTCTTGGAATAGCCTAGATCTAAACCCAATTGAAAATCTGTGATTCAAGTGAATGAAGGCAGTGTTGGAGTTTTGCCAAGAAGAATGGAAAAAATAGTCTCATACTATTGCCATAAACTTCTTAAAAATTAGGAAAATACTGGCTGACATTGTAATCTCAAAAGGAGCAGTCACCAAATATTAAATGTAAGGGTACACTTATTTTGCACATCTTAATTTTTAATTTTCAATTAATATTTTTATTTCAGATTGATAAAAATCTTTAAAAAGTTTTTTCTTAATGAACATATATATATATATATATATATATATATATATATATATATATATATCAAAAAGATGAACGAGACTGCAAACGTTTTTGGTTGTAATTGAAATAGATCTAAGAACAAACAGGTGTCATTAAAAGGTAAGAATATAGATATCTTTCCTCACCTTTTCTCAGACCAATCTTAATTGTTTTATTACCCTTCATGCAGAAGAACTTTCTCACTGCCAGTTCAAGAAAGACATTTGTGTCACTACCACACAAAAGAGAGAATCTTTAACATCAAGAATGTTTAACATCAAAACACATAATGAAAATTAATTCATTTTAATAATATATGGAAATATCCACTTTTGCCTGAAGAATGTCACAAGACCCAAAAAACATTTTGCAAAATTATGGAAAATAAAGCATAAGATATATTCTTTAAAAACATCCACATTACAACCAAAAACGTTTGAGGTTTCTCTCTTCTTTTTAATATATACACTTTTCTCTTGTTGGAACAAATATAACCTCTTCCCTTTATATATATATATATATATATATATATATATATATATATATAAAGTTTTTTTTTAATGAATATATAGTTTAATTAAGATTTGTTGATTCTCTGAAAAATGACAAGTTTTTAAAATATTAACTTAGGTGTTCACTTACCTTTGCATAGTATCCCACTGGATACTTTGGCCAACACTGCCCAGGCAGTAGTTCACCATACTAATAAATGTCTGGAAACTAACTGCCAATATTTTGAGTATCTATTGTGATTGAAGAGTACAAAGAGAACTTGTATTAATTTTGTAATGCTTGAATAAATATTACAATATCTATACAAGTTTTTCCTTTCCTCAAGTGCATATACATTTTTGGGCAGAATCTCTATCTCTTTCTCTCTGTCTACATATATATATATATATATATATATATATATATATATATATATATATATAACTCTGTATGTGTATTTTCTAGACAATGGAATTACTTTTGATCTGCTATATTACCTGCCCTTTTGTTATCAAATAATGACATGACAATACATATCAAAACTCACATCATTTCTCACATGTCCTACATGGGTTGCATTTGCATCAGCAGCAGAAGCATCCAGTAAATGATTTGAAACAGAGATCCAGAGTAATATCATTTGGATAAGCAGCATTATGATCCATCAGAAAGTTTATCACCAAGTAAGATTCACAATATTAAGCAATGACTACAGATTAATTTTTTCATAGTGAGAAGATATAGAAGATATTTATAGTGATTTAAAAATGCTACTTTAATTATAAGAGAATACAATTTACTAAAATGAAAATGTATAGAAAGTGCTTGAATTGCTTGATCAACCACAGTAAATTTTCGTTCATATTCTTGCAGCATTTCACCTTCCTTGGCAGATTATACTTTATTGGAATGTGAGATATTTAATAACAAAATTTTTAATTTAAATTGAAAATTCTAAGTATACTCTCTACTTGATGCAAACATGTCATTGCATCAACATAAGCATCACTTTACACCAATGACATCCTAAAACACAAAACTTTGCCATGGATTTGGCTAAAATTATTCTTGATATATAAAAACATATATTATTTTCCAATATCTATCTATCTATATATATATATATATATATATATATATATATATATATATTTGGTTGGATAGATGTGAGTTTGTGACCCTGGGTTTCCCTTTAGTGATCGTCAGTTTGTCTGACGATCGCTAAAGCATGAAACCCAGGGTCCAAACTCTATCTATCTATATTAGCTGATATTGAGCGCTTTCTAATAAGTACTGCACATATAATATATAAATAATTATACATATATATATATTTATTTATATTTATATACACTTTTCACATATATATATATAAATATATATATATATATATATATATGTATATATTATAAAATATAGGTTTAAGATATGCTATATTTATGGGTTAAAATGCCCAGTATCAGGGATAGAGTTTATGTAAAGATATATATATATATATATATATATATATATATATATATATATCTTTGTGCAAATTAATTAAAACAACTGCTTTAGTTTCCTTTTTCACCATATGATCAGGTTTAGACCCAATGGAGTGACAAGGTGCAATTGATTTTTATTTTTTCCTTCAGTTAGGTCATTTGCAGTGGTGTGCAGTAATATGAACCTTCTTTTTTGAGAGTGTGTGATGAAATTTGTTTGTCCTTGA